CGACAATTTTGCTTGACGTTAAGATTGCATATTTGCATAATGATTACACACACAAACCTTCAGTCTCTTGTTTCTTTCATTTTAATAATTTCAATATTTAAATGCTTGTTTTAGACGGTAACTCATAGAAATGAACAAATTGATAGGTGGTTTTACTTTTATGTTCATCGTTATTATGTGATCTTGAAAACTAAAGTCTGGACACTCGTAACAGAACCGTAAATTGTGGTATAAAGTTTTGTTGTACTGAGAACCTTTGTTTTAATTTATGATGACGTATTTCCACGCTAAGTTCTGTAGATATTTATTACAGGATTTTAATCTCCTTCATCGGTGTAGCTGGTTATTACTCAAACGATATCTGCAATCCTGCTAGTTCTGCGTTGCAATAGAATGGGAGTGACTATAGGACAATATCAATTTGGAATTTGTAATCGGGCGGTGTTATGGCAATGGTTGGCAATTCGTCATGTCGTATTGACGTTATTTAGAGCGGGTATCGACTATCGTTTGTGAGCGGAGTCGTGATACTCAAGATATTGTGTCGCACGCGCCACTCGCTGCTGTGACGAAGGCGGCTGGTATGCGAAGTGATTCAGGCGGAAACCCTATATATCCACTGTTTATGCAACCCACTATCCGTCCGTCATTTCTACTACACTGTAACATTGATTGTACAGGTTGAAATGACTTTGATACGTAAAATTTTTCACGTTTTATATGTGTCTAACTTGTGTAGATGAAAGAAAAATTGCATAGACAATGAAAGAGCAAGTATAAAAACATACAGTATAAACATATAGCTGTTGAATATACAATATAAGTTTGGATGCTTCTGGTTTCTAAGATAGAAAAGACAATTATTCAAGTTGGGCAAGCTCACACACTGCGTGCTACCAGAGATGAGCCTAAGACCTTGGCGTGGTGACGTGAGACGAGCCTCAATGCGACGCACTTCACACTAGCCGTTGGAATGTCGCTTGACAATGACAGAATAATGTGACGTCAGGCCGCATTATCAGCTTGCGCATATCATCATATAATTACCACTTTCCAACGATTGCTGCAGCAATTTGGAGGATACATCCGATGATTGGTTTTATCGTGACGTAAGACGTAAAGAATGTTTATGAATGTGGCTGCTTTAATGCATGGTTCGGTTCGGATACGAAGTTTTATATTCACGCATTTGATCATCCGGCCGCTCGGCACGCTTCGTCGAACTCATTGCAGTGTTTAATTCGTTTATAACTGCGCTGTGGCAATGTGTCAGCGATTTGGAATGCGAGAGGAAATCACAATGACCCCTAACTCGCTTCCTTTTTTGGACATTGAAAACTTTGTAATCATCCTGTCTGTGACTTTGTTGTGTTTAAGCAACCTCTCTGAATACACAATGGTCAAAATGACATCACGAGACACAAAATGCTCAGCAAAATCTGAATCGGGTTGTTCACCTACCATTATTATCCTTAGCTGTGTCTACTGACACACATTGGCTTGACGAATTATGTTTTGGAAATGTAGGGCAACGTCCTCACTAAAGTGAACGAATAAAAAAATGAAGATTGTTCTGAAGCTCATCGGAATGCGCATTAAACGGGCCATCCGGATTAAAATATTTCCCTGGTGATATTTATAGAACATTTGTAGGTGCTCGTGTCCGTCTGTCGGTCGGTCGATATGTGTGAGACAGCGTGGCACCGCCTTCCACCAGACGGGGCACCAAGTTTGTCGTAATCCAGGATTTGGTCATTCGATTTATAAAACTATTTGAGCAGGAAATGAGTAAGTCACTGGAATTAGAATATACGCAATATTTGCGTCGAATTTGCTAACCACTTGAGTCTGAAGAAAATTGTGTTGAATTTATAACATGTCTGGTGCTTGTTTGAGTCATGTTTCGCGGTTTCACATGCCTAATTATATTGATATATCTACTACTTCTAAAAACCGTGTGTATATCTTTATATCTACGATAACCGATTTATCTGAAATTCATTGTCCCAAGATATGTGGGCAAATACGTCATCATAACTGCAATGCGTTGTAACCAAATAGCCCAAAGCGGGCAGCAACCTTCGCTTCTATTTGTGGCTGACGACAGTACGTTGGCCTTCTGCCGACGGTTCTAAGACCCGGTGCACTGGCATATCGCACGACATGACACGTGGATTTATTCGCATCAGTTACATCGCTGTCCGGTCTGACCTGACGTAGTGGTTCAATACGGATCTCTGACCGTGTCGTGGGGCAACATCTTCCGTGTGTCCTGGAAACCCAATTTAGGTACTTGGGTGGTTAAAAAGATCTTATCCGATAATTAGAAATCTTGATTCTGTTGACATATCTGCGAATCATATTTTGAATATGGATAAAATATTATGTTTGTGGTTGTGAAGCAAGAGCATTATTGTTCGTTAAAAATGCTTCAGAGTTTAATGTCTAGTGTTATTAATCCTTTCATAAACATTTACCCTAAAATATTATCTCTTAATAGCTAAGTCTACGGAAATGTACGACGTAGTAGAGCATAATATTTTTTTTTATCACTGATAATGATTTTTTTTTGCCAATTTTATCTATGGAATGCGTTATGCGACCTTTTGCAATGCCATTATTAATATATATTTGATTATTTTTAGGAGCTTTTTTTTTCCTTAGAAACTCTACATTCTGTGAATGTTTTTATGTAGCAATGACTAACGAATGTAGGTTAGGTACTAACTATATTAGTATTAGCTATCTACTTATAATAGGAACCTACTTACATAGATGATATTTTGAAACTCGAAGTATACAGCAGACAGTACTGTCATGGTAATTTACTCCGACGTTTACTACAAATTCAACCAAGAGTCCGATCATTCCAAAAAATCCACTAAAAACAAGAATTCGGTCATAATATTGTTTGATACGTATATTACAGTGGTATGTGGGCGTGTGTGCGTGAAAGCTTTGGTGTGTGCAGCCAGGGATTCCGTGACACGGGTCACCGTTTCCGAGAACTCGGCTCGTCTTGATGTCCCGCTGACAGTACAGGTTTTGCCGTTCTACCACGTCGCAGCAACATTGTCGCTCTACTCGACTCTCTCGCGCACGTGGTGAGGATCTCCCCATCTCGCTCCTCCGCTGTGTATTGGATGCGCGCACGCACGCGCCCTCTATTCCCTCTCCTCGATAAGAGTGATCGTGTTTTGGAATGTATGCCTTTCGGTAGCTGTGAAGGGTTACCTAATTTTCTTTAGAGTTCCTAATGAACCTATCATTGATCCCGAATATTCGCACCAATAAACTAACTTAAGGATTATTTAATGTGTTAGTGGCAATCGGTAAACATTATGACCTTTATCGTACGCGTATGTATTTCATATTACCGCAAAACATACATCAAAATGGGACATTGTTAACACGCAAATGTCGAAAGTATTAATTTTGCGTTTCGAATTGCCATCAAACTGGACATGAAGGTAGCCAATTAGCCGGAGAGTCTTATTTAATAACTGACTACCGTATAAACGCCATATTAAAAGAGACGAGAACAGTTAAGTGGGATGCGTATGCGGCAGTTTCGGCGGTTTCGTCACTGACGGAAATGCGAGTGGGGCCAGTTTTTGTGGTAGAGTTGATGAGGCTGCAAGTGAATCATGATCGGGGCCTATAGCAAGTGGAGCAGGTCGCTGGCGCCAGCGCACCACGCCCCGACAGCTCCCGCGCAGCGCCCGTTTGCGACCCATCATTAATTATAATCTTGCCACAACTCTGATCTGTTAGGCGCAACTTGAAACTGGAAACTCTGCACCTGCGCTCCACGTCCCGTAAAGACGTAGAGCGCAGAATAATTTTCTGTGTTTACAGAAATTTAATGCAAAAAATTTCTTGGTGTAGGCGCAATACAAAGACGTCTTCTATTCTCAACAATTTTATCGAAAAAAAGGTAGACGACGTTTGACGTCTTCAAAATAGAAATTTCCTGGGAATGCACAGACTTAAGACTTAATTTTTGAGTGCGTGTAACGAAAAGCAGTTTATTATGCAGATGTTTATGAATTATACATAAATGTTTACGCCAGATTATTATTAGATTAAGAAAATCATATGATTAATTTACAAAGATTCGTTAGAATTACAATGTTGAACGAATAACTCGTAATAGGTATAATACCTCAACAGCCTCTTGAGGTTATGAATTATAATTTATAATGACTGTAGATCAACTCAAACTACATGTTTACACATAAGATACAAGATCAAGTCGAAAATGGGCCTGCTTTTGGGCCCGAACTAAATAGCTAGTAAAAATTATCCGGTCCAAAGATTCGAAATAATAATGGGGCCCGGTTATTTTTATTTTGTTTTAATGATAGTAATAGGAGCGGGTTTAATAGGCTCGCCCCTGTGCAGTCGTGGGAAGCAAGGCTGATGTAAGAAGACCTTTTATGGAAATGATTTTTAAAACTGACCAAATTTTTTTGAGGAAGGTTGAGAAACAATGCTGCGCGAATTTTTCTATTCCATTACAAAAAAATGTTTAGAACCAGTAAAGGCAAAAAAGAAACTTTTAACTTTTGGTGTCCTGTATGTCATGGCTGTTTAACTAAGAAACTACTTTTGTCGTGGATTTGAAGTTAGGCATATTGTTCCAACTTCGTTGGAACCTATCGAATGTGAAACAATTTCAGAAACTTTTTTTTTTCAATGGATCAAAATTTCAAAATAGAACTTCTAGGTTCGGACCACGGCCTTCTAAAAATATTTTTTTTTTAGCTGCGTTTGGAATGGTTCTTTTTCCGCCACCGTAGACAAATTATGAATCTAAATGAGGCATGTGAAATCCGTATCAATTCCTTTACCCAAATAACTAGGACTACGTCTAATATCTGTTGGTTCTGTAACATTATCCTTTAAATCACTCCTACAAAAAATACCAACGGTACCAGGAACTCATGAAAAAACCCAAGGTCTCAAATGCATTGCTTATATGGATGTCATTGTTTCAGATTCACGAAGCCACAGTCGTTCGCGGACTGCATCGGCAATGAGTTGCCATTGGGCTGGGAAGAGGCCTACGATCCACAGATCGGGCCTTATTACATCAACCATGTCAATCGTGAGTATTTCTAATGTAACATGTATATTCTTTTATGTTTAACACAAATATTATAAATTGTAATACATAAAAGTCTTGTATAAATACAATTTATTTTATATTTGGGTTCAATTGCCTCATTTCATGCACGCCAGGGTAATTATCCCATGATGTTGAAATCGTGCAATCGACTTTTAATCAATTTCTGATTCGAGTAATCGAATTTTATTTATTTTAATATCTTTAAAATCTTTAAATATGTAGTGTCTCTGTGTACCTGTTATATTAATCTTATATATAAACTTTTAATAGCAGTTACGTCAATTCAAATTTAGAATGAAATAGGTTTACAACGTAATCGTCAACTTCCGTAGAACACGATGGAATCCGAAGCTGGACTTTAGCAAATAATATTATAGTATTTGAAAAGGTCAATGAGTATTTCACATTTATTTACCTGTAAACAGTGTCAAGAAGGCTTCTTATTTATGTTCTATAGTGCATGGAGGCGAGTGAAAAATGTTCAACGCGGGGGTCTTATGAGAAGTCTCGTTGCTTTAGTTATTCTCTATGAATTATTGAACAGCTTGATTCATGTATAGACTTACAATGAGAGACTCTACTATGAATTCAATGTACACTTTTGAAGTTGAAATGTTTTAAGCTTATACGCAATAGAGGGCGTTCGGTATGTTTATGGTGGTAGAACCCTATGACGGACGGGAAAACCTAAATTATGGTGTTGTTGACCTTTACTTCTGTAATAAAAATATAATCTATTTGTTTAGGGCATCAGTTTGTTGTCTATTGGTTTACCAATCCTTAGAACCAGTATTTTATACCCACTCCAAAATTTTCTCTTTACTCCGTTATTGTTTTCTTTCTTTGTACCCATTGTGACACAGCTAGTCACAGACCTCTGCTGAGGGTTGTTGAGAACAGATAATTTGAGTGATTGTTTTTAAACTGTTTTAAGAAATCGGTTAATCCTTATTATGATCACACAGATCGTTAAAATGGTTTGGAAAATGTCGGAAAAGCGGTTAGTCATAAATAATGCATCGGAATGCGTTTGCGCCTACGCCGGGCGGCGTGCGAAAATGGCTGCGTATACGCACCGTTAGAGCTGTGTTCACACGCTGGATTTGTTCAGCTTTTTAATTGGATTAGTGATAAGGGAATGCCAAACTCCATTAGGTATAATTAGGATAAATAACGGTTTAGGTCAATGCAATTGGGTTAGGTTAGTTTACTTATTTCAAATTTAGCAGGGGACTCTTATTTTTCTAGATGTTGGATTTTATTGTCTGTGACTAAAAACTCACAGCTCGTGTTAGAGTCTCAATAAAATCTATGTTGAACTCACCAGATATGATGATGATGATATTCCGGATTGATGGGCGGGAGCACAACGCCTTAAGGTGTTCACTCCCAAGACCGGCAACGAATTTTCGGTATCAAACATACTTCTTTAGTATGGCAAATGTCAAAAGACAAGACGTAAACATTGATTCATGTGTGTAGTTTAGGTTAGATGCCGTTAGATAGCATTTTACCGTTTTCGGTTATTTTCTTATTAAGTTGTTATCCAAATTTCATTAACCGTCGATTGATTTAAAATATATATGAGCTTAAATAATCGAACACCCATTCATTCCATCCATTGTTTCATAGGCTTATTTTTCTGACAGTATAAATGGTCCTTCGAGTCGGATAGAGTGGATGGATAATATTAAAAAAAAATCTAGTAATAGTAGTACACTCATGGACATATTTAGAGGGCCGCTAAAAAAGGTTGAATTATGATTACTATGTTCATATGAGCCACTTACCACTCATATCAGAACGTTTAATTTGAAAAAAGAATGATTTGAATCGTTCTTTAATTTCGATAAAACGTTCTGGTATATATGGCTAGTGGTTCAGATGGACGTTGCTTTCATAATTCAACCTTTTTCAAGCGATAGCGTTTCTCTAGACAGGTCGATGTGTGTAGTGTACATTACAACTAGATTCTTTAAAAGTATATATCCATCCACTCCATCTAGGTCGAAGGACCATTTACAGAGTCCTAAATAAACTCTATGAAACAAATAGAGAGTGAAAAGGGTGGCTATATTTTGAGATGAGTTTCTTAGAAATTATTACTTACATTACATTGTGTCCTCACAGCAAAGCTAAAACCCACAAACCAAAACACACCCATTCGTAAAACACTATAACTTAACTTGGCAACATGGTTGCGCGCACGCATACCAGCGCTGGTGAGCTGCGGGCAGCGTAAATCTGCGGCGGCCGGGAATTTGCATGGAAACCCTATCGCAACAAGTTTTTGAACAAGTGGGCTTGGTTGAGAATATTTCTCTATCGATTCTACTTGTGTATAGATAGGTACTTGCTATAGAATTTAACACTACCTAATTCTTTGAGAATCGAGACTTAATTTTACAGTACCTTAAGTACACAAATCAGAATAAGGAGAGTACATTTACCTAAACTTCTACAAACATATCTGTGTACCCTCTTTCGCTGTCAGCGATCACCCTACTTACAGCGGTGTTACCATTCACGGTCTCTTTTTTTCCCACAGAAAGTACGAAACCTGTAACCAGTGATAAGTCTTATTATAATAAAACGTATAATAGTAATTACTTTTCTAATTTACACATGACTCTAAGACTCATTGACCAAAATTCGAACTTACACACCTTTACTCAGAAGACAAGTATCCTTCTAACTAGGCTTCTCACGCCTGCGGGAACCTCATGAACATGAACCTGTTTCCACAAAATATAATGCCTTGAGAGACGAACGAGCCGTAACAAATAAGTTATTAATAAGGCAGGCCTATCATTTAGCTCTAATTAGTAAGCCACTCGATAACTAACGATAATGTAGCCGTGCTAGCGAGCGTCTAAAGAATAGTTGTGCCCATTCATTAGCAGGAGTTGAGACTGGACTCGGTGATTTGTTGTGGGTTAGTATAACTAATATGGTAACTAGATTAGATCCCAGCCTTATTAATTAGTATCCTCCATTATCAATACAGTGCATTCGCTATAAGAATGCGGTAGGTAATAACAAGAGAATCAATCACAATGGCCCTAATGAAAATTAAAAAAACAGTACAAAATTGAAATGGACCAATCGCTCGGATTTCGAATTTAAATAAGTTACTCTATTTGTTTGATAACGCCTTTATGAGCGTGTTATGATAGAATATTGACATCAAAGTCAGTATTATAATTTTAGGATTCAAAGTGTATCGTGTCATACTTTAACTTCTCTTATTTGTTCCTAAAATACTATCTTAAATCTTGTAACGATGTTTTCCCTTGGCTAACACCCTATACGACGAGCTAGCGCAGCAAATAGGTATAGAGATTGCATGCCTAGATTACCAAACCTGTGGGCTAGGATTCTAAGCAGGTATGCTAAGGAGCCATTATAAATACTTACATTTACATGTAGTAAAGATTATCACATATTATTATATAAAACCACATTTTTATTGGAGTTGGGGTTTTCGTGTGAGGAAACAATTTCGGTTGTGTCAAAAATATTACGTGGAGGTTACGCAAAGTTGTACAATGATTAGGCCGCCTCAAATCGTCGCTTTTAAAATTAAATTTGAATTCCGGTAAATGGTGTATGACATTTTGCAATAGTTCGTTTACTAAAACAAAAAGACCAATCACACAAATTGACCAATCACATTCCTTGATACTTATATAAGTCATGTGGTTGGTTACTTTGAATTGCCAACTGATTTTGTGTCTTGCTAAAGTTTTTCCAGAGTAAGGACCTATTGTAAAGGTTGCTTGTGGTCGTGTGTCCATTTTATATAAATAAAAAAAACTGTTATGAAAGTATTCGCTTTTCACCAAACCACCACCACCACCACCACCATCACCACTTTTCGCATTGCCCGCAGAAAAAGGTATTTCTTGAAAACATCTCAACATGCTATCTAAATCTGACTCGTTATCCTTTAAATTCCTTTTAATACCATAGTTAATATCTCACATATCGAATACCTTTTTATAAACTTTGCTGCTTTGGATTTAATGCGAAAACAAAACGCCTCGAGGGCTTCAGATATACTCGTTATTTTATGTTTTATTTTATTACATTAACGATCTTACGCATTAGCAATGAATGCTCTATCGGTTCTTAAATGAGTTTTAAATGCTTAATCGGTCTTATAGATTACTTTTCGCATTACCTGAGACTATGGTTCTTAAGGTGCCGTTCATGTAGGAACTAACTAGGTTTCACTTGTTTGTTATCGAATTTGTTTTGTATACATATAATAATTATGTTAGTATTGATGTCAATTTTGTTGCTCTCAGTAAAATCATAGAAAGGATAGGATATCTACGGCAGGATTTGTATAAAATGGCATAATATGAACCTCTTTAGTATCATTAATTATTCAATAATTAACTGCCTCCGTGGCCAAATGGTTACCATGCCGGACTGCCACGCAGAGGTCCCAGGTTCGATTCCCGGGCCGGGAGAAATTTTTGTATGGCCTACATTTATTTCTCTCGTGAGTTTGGGTGTAATTTGTGGTTGTCTATGTGTGTGTCCATGGCACCCGCGACACAGGTTTTCCCTAGAGCGGGGCTATGTTGAGTGTGTGTGAGTGTGTGCGTTATTAATTTTAATATCATTGCCACCCAAAAACAAAAGGAATATATTACTTGGGATATAACTGATACTACACTACATTTATATAGATACTCATAAGAGAGTTTTCTAAACCATATTTAGGGAGAGAGCTCTAAGAGAGAGAAGCTTCCAAGCTTCATCTATTTTCAAATTGTGTAAATCCTCTACGTGTTGATGCATCTGAGTGCAAATTCCCATCAAAATTTATCTTTCCCTCATCAGCTCAATATTATTCCAAATTTGCAAGTACTCCTCAAGATATAACTCAGAGTCTTGTGATCACAAGGCAAGTTGTTCTCAGTTTTTACGTAATTATCTTGCTGATGCACTTACCTTCAAGTCAAGGA